TGAGGATTTGGGGTGGGATTCCATCCCCGTGAGGATTTGGGGTGGGATTCCATCCCCATGAGGATGGTGAGGGCCTGGGATGAGGATTTGGGGTGGGACTCCATCCCCGTGAGGATTTGAGTTAGAATTCCATCCCTATGAGGATTTGGGGTGGGATTCCATCCCCACGAGGATCTGGGGTGGGATTCCATCCCCATGAGGATTTGAGTTAGAATTCCATCCCCATGAGGATTTAGGGTGGAATTCCATCCCCACCAAGATTTGGGGTGGGATTTCATCCCCACCAAGATTTGGGGTGGGATTCCATCCCCATGAGGCTGGTGAATGAGGACCTGAGCGAGGATGAACACTCCTGGTGTTATAATTCCTTAAAAAAAATTTATAAATATCAAGGAAAACGCCTTGTTCACACCACAAATCCTCATTCTCATTCCTGGCAGAACCACCCAAATGCTCCTTTTCCCCTTTGGAGCTCTGGGGGCACCTCCAGGAGGATCCCCTGTGCCTTTATCCACCGGGAGCACTTGGACAACGCCGGAAAATTCAGGAGGAGGAGGAGGAGGAGGAGGAGGAGAGATCAACCCACAGGGGGGCTGAATCCTCCGGTGGAAGCTCGATAGCCAAAGTGGAAGCACAAGTGCCCCGTAAATCAATTAAAGCATTAAATAATCTGATTGTGCAGAGCTGCGGGCAGCGAGGCAGCGGGGCAGGAGGTCCCCCCCCGACACTCCCCGAAATTATTGTCGTCGCTGCTAACGAAGGGATGGGAGCACGGCCAGGCTAGGGAGGATTTATTGCCCAGATAAACCTCGGGAGGTTTTAAAGGAGCGAGCGGTCGGTTGTAGCCACAGGTTTTGCATTTCGAAGCAATATGAAACTTTCTGGCTCGGCCAATAGATGCTGCAAGGTTTATTTTGGTTTTTTCTGTCACTTTTACTTATTTCTGCTCCAGTGAGGGTGCTTTTAGGCTAAGAGTCTGAAGTCTAATAGGCTTCTGTCTCTCGTGGTTTGTTTTTATTATAATTTTTTTATATGCACATTTGTTTTTATTATAACCTCTAAACTCTTATTTTAGAATAAACTTAGTTTCTTCTATACCACCACACCCCTACATTAAAAACATTTCACCATCTTATTAATAATTTCTCACTTACTTAAGGCATATTCTTACAAGAAATGTAGAAACATTATCAGAAACACAAGGTTATGATTTTTCTGCCTAATTGTACAATTGATTTTTCTGCTTAGTGGTGCAATTCTGCCAATTGTATTTTTATCAATCCGAACCTCTCTTCAAGGCTGCAAATCAAAACCTTCCGTGTCCGTGGGAGTTTTTGGTTGAAAATCAATCAAACCCTCCTGTGTCTGTGGAAAATTTTTTTTTTGAAAATCAATCAAAGCCTTCTGTGTCCGTGGAAGTTTTTGGTTTGAAAATTGATCAAATCCTTCCGTGTTTGTGGAAGTTTTGGTTTGAAAATCGACCAAACCCTCCCGTGTCTGTGGAAGTTTTTGGTTTGAAAATTGACCAAACCCTTCTGTGTCCGTGGAAGTTTTTGGTTTGAAAATCAATCAAACTCTTCCTTGTTTGTGGAAGTTTTTGGTTTGAAAATCGACCAAACCCTNAAACCCTTCTGTGTCCGTGGAAGTTTTTGGTTTGAAAATCAATCAAACTCTTCCTTGTTTGTGGAAGTTTTTGGTTTGAAAATCGACCAAACCCTTCTGTGTCTGTGGAAGTTTTTGGTTTGAAAATCAATCAAACTCTTCCTTGTTTGTGGAAGTTTTTGGTTTGAAAATCGACCAAACCCTTCTGTGTCCGTGGAAGTTTTTGGTTAAAAATCAATCAAACTCTTCCTTGTTTGTGGAAGTTTTTGGTTTGAAAATCGACCAAACCCTTCCGTGTCCGTGGAAGTTTTTGGTTAAAAAACAATCAAACTCTTCCTTGTTTGTGGAAGTTTTTGTTTGAAAATTGACCAAACCCTTCCGTGTCCGTGGAAGTTTTTGGTTTGAAAATCAATCAAACTCTTCGATGTCTGTGGAAGTTTTTGGTTTGAAAATCAATCAAACTCTTCGTTGTCTGTGGAAGTTTTTGGTTTGAAAATCGACCAAACCCTTCCGTGTCCGTGGAAGTTTTTGGTTTTTTGGTTTTTCCCATTCTGCCACCCCGAGGCGCTGCACGTGGGGCTGGGAGGGGACAGTGGGGTGGGGACAGGGGACACTGCCACCACCCTCAGGAACCCATGGAGCAGGAGGCAGAGACACCAACCTCAGCAGGAGGTGGCCAAGGGGGTTTTAGGGTGGAAGAATTCCTCGGCAGGAAGGAATTCCAACGCGGGAAGCGTTGGCTTGGACGTCAGGGACGCGTCGGTGCCACCACGCTCTGGTGCGGGTGACGAGGACTGCTCGAAGCCTGGGAGATGCTGGAGGTCCTTGCTGACCTCGGTGGTCCGGTGGTCACCCAGAGCCCGGGGGTGCGGTGGGCCCAGCGCCGGGCAGCACGGCGGGATGCGGGGACGCCGCGTGCGCCGCCGCCGTGGCGCTGCTCTCACCCGCGCTCTCCCGTCCCCGCAGGTCTGTCGAAGATGCACTGGTCACCAGATCATGCCCAGTCCCTGAACCAGTGGCCGGAGCAGCACCTGGACGTCTCGTCCACCACCTCCTCGCCGGCCCACAAGTCCGAGCTGTACCCCAGCACCCGCCAGCGCTTCAACTACGCCTGGGCCAACGACGACATCTCGGCGCTGACGGCCTCCAACCTCCTCAAGAGGTACGCCGAGAAGTACTCGGGGGTGCTGGACGCGCCCTACGAGCGCCCGCCGCTCGGCGCCTACGGCGATGGCGCCTTCGGCCCCGTTAACGGGCAGAAGGACGGCGAGCCCTGGCCGGGGGCGCACGGCTCCGACGGCTCCTACGCCCTGACCCCCATCCACGACGGCCTGGCGGGCGCCAAGGGCGTGGTGCCGCCCGCCGCCGGCGGGGCCGTCGGGCTGGGCGGCTCCGCGGCGGCGGCGGCCAACCTCGGCGACGCCGCCTACGCCGGGGGCTCCTGCGGGGCGGCGGCCGGCGGCTCCGGGGCGCTGGGGGCGTCTCAGGAGTACCCCTCCGGTTACGCCGGCACCTACCTGCCCTCGGGCTACTGCGCCCAGCCGGCGGCGGCGCTGCCCCCTCCGCACCCTGCCGGCCTCCACGGCTCCGGGCTCCTGCAGCCCCCGCACGCCTCGCCCGCCCTGGTGCCGGGCTACGGCTCCTCGGGCGCCGTGTACAACTACGCCGCCGGCGGCTACCCGCCCCAGCCGGGCTACGGGGGCATCCACCCGCCGCACCCCTCCGCCTCCTACCTGCCCTCGGGCATCGCCGCGCCCACCCCCATCCCGGCCCCGCCGCCCTGCGCCCGCCCGCCGGGGGTGCCCGGGTACGGCTACCAGGGCGCCGGGCTGGGCGCCCTGGCCGTGCCGCCCCTGGGCACCGAGGCGGCGGGCGCGCTGAAGAGGAAGGCGTTCGACGGCGGCGGGGAGGACGACGGCGAGGGCAGGTACAGGAAATACGGCTACGAGCAGCCCAAGTCCCCCTACGCCCTGTCGGACAACGGCGAGTGCCGGGGCAACGGCTTCGGCAGCAGCGGCGAGTCGCCCCAGGTGGCCTTCAAAGCCGGCAAGCGGGCGGCGGGCGCCGGCGGCGCCGAGGAGCCCGGCAGCAAGTACGGCGGGCAGCAGATGAAGGGGATGGCGTCGCCGGCCTACGGCGCCAGGGACGCTGCCCTGCGGCCGGCGGAGCCCTTCGAGAAGTTCAGCCCCCCCGTCGCCAACGGGGAGCGGGCGGCCGAGCCGGGAGCCCCCTTCCCGCTGCGGCCGCCCCCCAAAGCTCTGGAGGAGCGGCCCAAGAGCGTCGACCCGCTGCTGCTGGAGCTGGTCAACGCCAAGGTGGTGGAGCGCGGCCCGCCGGTGCAGTGGGCGGACGTGGCCGGGCAGGCGTCGGTGAAGGCGGCCATCGAGGAGGAGCTGCTGTGGCCCATCCTGCGGCCCGGCTCCTACGGCGGCGCCGGGCACCCGCCGCGGACCCTGCTGCTCTTCGGGCCCCGCGGCACCGGGAAGACGCTGCTGAGCCGCTGCATCTCCACCCAGCTGGGCTCCACCCTGCTGCGCCTCAGCGGCGCCGCGCTGCTGTCCACCTGGAAGGCCGAAGCCGAGAAGATCCTCCAGACCGTGTTCTTGGTGGCCAACTGCCGGCAGCCCTCCGTGGTGCTCATCACCGAGGCCGAATCCTTGCTGGCGGCGCGGGCGGGCGAGGACGGCGGCCAGGCGAGCGGCCTCAAATCCCAGCTGCTCTCCTACCTGGACGACGTGGCCGCCTCGTCGGAGCGCGGCGTGGTGGTCATCGGCACCACGGCGCGGCCCGGCAGCATGGACGAGGCGTCGCGCCGCCGCTTCGGCACGCGGCTCTACGTGGCACCGCCGGACGGCGAGGCGCGGCGCCACATCCTGCGCCGGGCCCTGGCGCAGCAGAGCTGCCGCCTGAGCGAGCGCGAGCTGGCGGCCCTGGCGCAGCGCACCGAGAGCTTCTCCGGCGCCGAGCTGCTGCGCCTCTGCCAGCACGCCGGGGTCGCCGCGCGCCGCGCGCCGCCGGGACCCCCCGGGCCCTACCAGGAGCTGGAGAAGGCGTTCTGCAAGGTGCGCCCCGCCGTGTCCCAGAAGGAGCTGGACTTGTTCCTGGAGTGGGATAAGATGTACGGCACCAGGCACTGAGGGCGGTCGCACCCCGAGGCCGTGGGGGGACAGACCCCAGAGTTGCAGGGATGGATCCCGAGGCCATGGGGGACAGACCCCAAAACTGTGGGGACAAACCCCAAAGTTGCAGGGATGGACCCCGAGGCCATGGGGGACAGACCCCAAAACTGTGGGGACAAACCCCAAAGTTGCAGGGATGGACCCCGAGGCCATGGGGGACAGACCCCAAAACTGTGGGGACAAACCCCAAAGTTGCAGGGATGGACCCCGAGGCCATGGGGACAAACCCCAAAGATGAGAACAGACCCCAGAGCTGTGGGGACAAACCCCAAGGCTGAGGATGAACCCCAAGGCTGAGGATGAACCCCAAGGCTGAGGATGAACCCCAAGGCTGAGGACAGACCCTGAGGCTGTGGGGACAGACCCCAAAGCTCTGGGGACCGACCCCAAGGCTGAGGACAGACCCCAAGGTTGCAGGGATGGACCCCAAAGCTGTAAGGACGGACCCCAAGGCTGTGGGGACAAACTCCAAGGCCACGGGGATGGACCCCAAAGTTGCAGGGATGGACCCCAAAGCTCCAGGTATGGACCCCAAAGCTGCAGGGATGGTCCCCAAGGCCATGGGGACAAATCCCACACCTGCAGGGATGGACCCCAAGGTTGCAGGGACAGACCCCAAAGCTGTGAGGACAGACCCCAAAGATGAGGACAAACCCCAAAGCTGCAGGGACGGCCCCAAACCTGTGGGGACAGACCCAAAGGCTGAGGACAAACCCCAGGGCCGTAGGGACAGACCCCAAGGCCACAAGGACAAATCCCAAACCTTCAGAGATGGACCCCAAAGCTGCAGGGAAGGACCCCAAGGCCATGGGGACAAACCCCAAAGCCGCAGGTACGGACCCCAAGGCCATGGGGACAGACCCCAAAGATGAGGACAAACCCCAAGGCCATGGGGACAAACCCCAAAGCCGCAGGGCCGGACCCCAGAGCTCCAGGTACGAACCCCAAGGCCATGGAGAGACCCCAAAGCTTCAGGGATAGACCCCAAAGCTTCAGGGATGGACCCCAAAGCTTCAGGGATGGACCCCAAAGATGAGGACAAACCCCAAGGCCATGGGGACAGACCCCAAAGCTACGGGGGCAGATGTGGGACGTGCACTGGGGTCCGTGGGGGCTCTGCCTCTCTCGGGGTGGCCGGATCCTCCCTCAGCTCCTCCTCCTCTCCTCTCCTCTCCTCTCCTCTCCTCTCCTCTCCTCTCCTCTCCTCTCCTCTCCTCTCCTCTCCTCGGGGCGTTTCCCCACCACGCTCCTCCTGGCGCTCGGGATGAACGAATTTATTGTTCCTGCCCCTCCGGGCCCGGAGCGGCGGCGCCGGCGGCGTTTTGGAGGTGCTCCGGAATGTTCTGGGAAGTTCAGAGAAGGTCTGAGATGTTCTGAAATGTTCTGGGATGTTCAGAGAAGTTCTGAGATGTTCTGGGATGTTCAGGGACATTCCAGGACATTCAGGGATGTTCCAGAATGTTCCAGGACATCCAGGGACATTCCAGAATGTTCTGGGGCTTGCTGGGACATTCCAGGGATATTCCAGAGTGTTCCAGGACATTCAGGGATGTTCCAAAATGTTCTGGGAGGTTCAGGGACATTCCAGGACATTCAGGGATGTTCCAGAATGTTCCGGGACATCCAGGGACATTCCAGAATGTTCTGGGCCTTTTTGGGACATTCCAGAATGTTCCAGAAGGTCCAGGGGACATTCCGGAACATCCCAGGACATTCAGGGATGTTCCAGAATGTTCTGGGAAGTTCAGGGACATTCCAGAACGTTCGGGGACATTCAGGGACGTTCTGGGACATTCCAGAACGTTCCAGGACATTCAGGGACATTCCAGGACGTTCTGGGACATTCCAGGACGTTCCAGGACGTTCAGGGGACATTCCAGAACGTTCTGGGACATTCCAGGACGTTCAGGGGACATTCCAGAACGTTCTGGGACATTCCAGGACGTTCAGGGGACATTCCAGAACGTTCCAGGACATTCAGGGACATTCCAGGACGTTCTGGGACATTCCAGGATGTTCCAGGACGTTCAGGGACATTCCAGAACGTTCCAGGACATTCAGGGACATTCCAGGACGTTCTGGGACATTCCAGGATGTTCCAGGACGTTCTGGGACATTCCAGGACGTTCCAGGACGTTCAGGGGACATTCCAGAACGTTCCAGGACATTCAGGGACATTCCAGAACGTTCTGGGACATTCCAGGACCTTCCAGGACCTTCCGGAACCTTCCGGGACCTTCCCGCCGTCGGGATCCGCTCCAGGGCCCGATTCCGGAGCTCCCCAGAGCTTTATGGTGGATTTATAATTTTTGTTTTTTAATTGTTTGATTTTATTATTGCCAACAGAAATACCTCGGGCGTCTTCGGAGCCCCTTCACGCCTCGGTCAGGGAAAGGGGGGGGAGAGACCCAAAATTGGGGAATTTCACCCCAAAAAGAAGGAAAACGCCCCCCAAACCCCGCGGGTTTGGGAGGAAAATGCTGTAGATTGTCGAATATCCTAGACTCGGGTTTTTCTTTTTGTGGGATTTTTTTGTGTCCGTTCGTTTTTCTTTTTTAACTACTCAGGAAAACAAGAATTACCTCAAAAAAAAAAAAACTGAAGAATGTTTTTTTTTTTTTGTTTAAAAACGCTTTTTATCTTCTCAGAAAAGTAAAAAAAAAAGATTTTTTAAAAGAGTTTTTCCGACCTGGGACAAAGCTGCCTCCTGCGTTTGCTTGCAAAGGGGGTGAAGGAAGGAAGAAAGAAAAGAAAAATAAAAATTAAACTTGAAGCTGTAACAAAGATGAAATTTGAATGTATTTCAGGTGCTTTCCACGTATATTATGCCATAATTTTATTTGAATTTTTTTTTGTTTTCTCAACACCGTTTCTCGTAGCGTTTGGTGGAGTTACGTGTCTTCAACGGGAGCTGTCGCTGGCACCACTTTTTGGAGCAAATCGGGCAAATTCCCCCCTCGAAAAAATAAAATAAAAATAAAAAATAAAAATAAAAATAAAAATAAAAATAAAAATTGAAAATAAGAACAAAAATAGAAAATAAAAATAAAAATTGAAAATAAAAATAAAAAACAAAAATAAAAATAAAAATTGAAAATAAAAATAAAAATAAAGATAAAAATAAAAATTGAAAATAAAAATAAAAAGGCAGCGGGGTTTTTAAATTTCAATTTTTATTATTTTTAATGCTCTAAAGCCCCCCCGAACCTCAGGGTCTGCGCGTGCAGAGAGAAAAAATCCCTCAGGGGGTTCCCCCCGAGGTGTCCGGCAGGTTTTTCCCAAATTTTTCTCAAATTTTCCCCTATTTTTCCAATTTTTCCCATTTTTTCCCAATTTTCCACCAATTTTTCCCAATTTTCCCAAAATTTTCCAAAATTTTCCCAATTTTCCCAATTTTTCCAATTCCCCCATTTTTTCCCAATTTTCCCCAATTTGCCCCAAAATGTCCCAACTTTTTCCCCAATTTTCCCCAAATTTTCCCAATCTTTCCAAATTTTTTCCAATTTTCCCCTATTTTTCCCAAATTTTCCCAGAATTTCCCAATTTTTCCAATTTCCCCCAGTTTTTCCCAATTTCCCCCAGTTTTTCCCAATATTTCCCATTTCTTCCCAATTTTCCCAAATTTCCCCCTTTTTTTTTCCCAATTTCTCCCAAATTTACCCATTTTTTGGCCAAATTTTGGCCAAATTTTTCCCAATTTTTCCCAATTTCCCCCCATTTCCCCCACTTTCCTTTCTCATCCAGGGCATTACCCCTTTGCCCCCCACCTCCAAAAAGTGGTGCCGCCTTCCCGAAGCCTTTTCTTATTAATTATTATTAATTATTATTATTATTCCCCTCTTTGTACCTCTGTGTAACCATTTCTACCTCATTCTTTGCGAGGGATTGTACACGGAATATTTAATTCACGTCGGAGCTCCAGGGCTGGCATGGTCTACCTCAAGAAATGCTGTATTTTAAAAAAAAAAGGAAAAAAAAATACAAAATAGGAAAAAAAATAGAATATTTCACAGTATTAAAGAGAATTCCTGAAAAAAATTCCTGTCCTTGGGGTGCTG